CCGGAGGTCCTCGACGAGATCACCAGGTCTTGGCGTGCCCCCTACTCGGCCCGCCTTCGTGCCTCATCTTCGTCTGCCCTCACATCAGTCGAGGCGCCGAAGAAAAAGGTTATGACAGACTGCCTCCCCTGGATGAGTCAGTGGCCGCGCATCTCTGCCCGTCCACGGCCATCGGCTGGAAGGCAAAGACGGTCCACCTGTCCAAGCCGTGTAGGGCGACTTCGACTCTCACCGGGCGAGCCTACTCGTCTGCTGGACAAGCGGCCTCAGCGCTTCATTCTATGGCAGTCTTACAAGTCTTCCAGACCAAGCTCCTCCGTTGCATGGATGAGTCCGGCCCAGACCCCGCGGCTTTTAAGGAGCTGTGCAGTGCGACCGACCTGGCTCTACGCGCCACCAAGATGACAGTGCAGGCAATTGGCAGATCCATGGCCAGCCTAGTGGTGCTGGAGTGCCAGATAGTGTTGGACCCTGCGCCTCAGGCGTCATCCTGATCTGCGGGACAGGAAGAGGAGGAGGCCAAGTCTCGCTGCAGCTGGACCACCCCCAAAAGCGCCTCTGTAATGCCTCCAAGCACCCCGTTCAGTTCCGGGTGCCGATGGCAGTGTGTTTGTGACCAAAAGTACTGTTGTGAACATGGGGCCCGTTCTAATCGCGTCCACACAACCAACCGCTGTTACAGCAGGAAAAATAAAACACAAACATTTTCAAAAAGAGAGCAAATTTCCTCGTCCACTCATTGCGAGCATCAGGACCAAACAGTTGCTGGTAGCCACTGACTTCCATAGTTTTTATTTATTTATTTGTTTTTCTATATTATGGAAGTCAATGGAGACCAGAAACTGTGTGGTCTTCAAAATATCTTCTTTTGTGCTCAACAGAAGAAGAAAAAAACTAATGTACGTTTAAAACACCATTAGGGTGAATAAATGACAGAATTTTCATTTTTGGGTGAACTATCCCTTTAAGAATCATTTTAATGCTCGGGATTAATACACTTGTGCTCTGTTCATATGCAATGGTGGACAAGATGCCAGGTTGAGGGGAAAGCAGGTCACAGCTGTGGTAATACACATCACGTCCTCGGTGTAAACTTGCAGACTAAAAAATCTCTGCAACAAACACACTTTCGCTAATTAAAGCCATACATTAGATATCATACTGTAGGCCTATATATCACATGTATATGGTTAAGCTAGTAGCCTATTTAACAAGAGTTTAACTCACGCTGGTGGTTTTTTTAGGGTTGTTCATGGATTCAAACAGATTCAGTTATTTGGTCAGAACGACACAAACACATTGCAAGAACAATGACTTTGTTGTGCAAACCTGCTGTTTAGATAGATACAGTAGGCTAGTAGCACGTACATGTTGACAGTTTAGTTTTCACTAGATTGCCATTCAATGTTTCTCCTCCATGTGAATTTAAACACTTGTTATTGCACATTTGTAATGACGAAGTTGCATTTAGTACATTTAAAATATATTACCTTTATATGTACTATCGAATAACACACTACAGTTGAAATTTTAAACAAATACTATATAGTATGCTTTAGTATGTTAGTCATCACATCAAAACAAGTATACGTCTTTAAAGCATGACAAAAGATTATTAAAACATGACTTAATAAAAGGTTTAGTTTAAAGTAAAGTCATCAATTTGACATTATTACAAAGTGCACTTTTTAAAAAGTGTACTTAAGTGTTAAAACACAAACATTTTCAAAAAGAGAGCAAATTTCCTCGTCCACTCATTGCGAGCATCAGGTCCCCCCTAGGCGGCCCACTGCTCGAGCCAATCCAGCCCCTTGCCACGCGGGCCGAGGCCTGGCAGGCCATCCCCGGAGTGTCAAGCTGGGTCATGGGGATAATAAAACGAGGTTATACACTCCAATTCGCTCGAAGACCCCCGCGTTTCAGCGGCGTGGTCTCCACCTCGGTTCAGAGCAAAGATGCACATGTCCTGCGCGCCGAGGTGATGAATTTGCTGGCAAAAGGAGGCGTAGAAACGGTTCCCCCAGCTATGAGCGAGTCAGGCTTCTACAGTCGTTACTTCCTCGTCCCCAAGAAGGATGGTGGCCTAAGGCCCATTCTCGATCTCAGGTGTCTGAATCGCGCCCTCATTAGACGGTCGTTCAGGATGATTACATTGAAACAGATCCTCTCGCAAGTATGCCTAGGGGACTGGTTCTTTTCGCTGGACCTGAAAGACGCTTAATTTCACATCCAGATAGCCCCCCGTCACAGACGATTCTTGAGATTCGCCTTCGTGGGAGTGGCTTATCAATACACGGTCCTTCCCTTTGGACTGTCCCTAGCTCCTCACACTTTTACAAAGTGCATTTCCCTGCTGAGACAGACGGGAATCCGCATTCTGAATTACCTCGACGACCTCATTCTGGCCCAGTCGGAGGACGAGCTACTATCTCACAGATCCCTCCTCCTCAGCCACTTAGAATGCCTGGGATTCAGGGTCAATTTTGCTTTATGTTATTGCAATTTTGTTTTAGACTCAGCCCAAATGAGGGCAGTAGCCGCGCCAGAACGTGCGCTGGCCATTCAGCAGCTCACGGCCTCATTCAGAGTTGGAGCCTCTCGCCCCCTCAAGGTGTTTCAGAGGATGCTAGGCCTCATGGCCTTGGTGTCTCCGGTACTACAGTTGGGCCTGCTCCGCATGTGGCCCCTTCAGTATTGGCTGAAACCACGAGTTCCATCCCGCGCCTGGCATCTGGGATAGCATTGATGGATAGCTTCGTGTCAAGGTAGACCGGGCCTATGTATCAGCCCTGGCCCCTTGGAAAGATCCTCGTTGGATGGAACGGGGCGTGCCCCTGGGAATGGTCTGCAGAAGGAAGGTAGTCTCGACAGACGCCTCCAACACGGGTTGGGGAGCGCTGTGCGATGGCAAGCCAGCTTTCGGCCACTGGTCGAAAGAGGAAGGCAGGCTTCACATCAACTGCCTGGAAATGCTGGCAGTGTATCTGGGCCTTCGAACCTTTCTGCCAGACCTAAGGGGACACCACGTCTTAGTCCGCTCGGACAGCATGACGGTAGTGTCCTATATAAATCGCCAGGCCGGTCTCTCCTCTAAGCGCCTCTTCGCATTAGTAGAGTGCCTCTTGGAATGGGCTCAGCTCAACTTGCGCTCGCTGAGAGCAGCGCATATACCGGGCAGGCTGAACCAAGGAGCAGACATGCTGTCTCGGAGCAACGTCCCCTCGGAGGAGTGGACGCTCCACTCTCAAACGGTTCAGAAAATCTGGGAAATCTTCGGCAGGGCAGAGGTCGACCTCTTCGCCTCAGAAGACAACTCTCATTGCCCAACTTACTTTTCCAAGGTCTATGTAGCAGCCATAGCAGCTTCTCACGCTCCTATAGCTGGCCAATCGGTGGGCAGGAACAACTTGGTTGTTCATTTTCTGAAGGGGTCTAGAAGGCTCAACCTGCCTCACCCCATCACTGTCCCTACATGGGATCTGCCCACGGGGTTGAGGGCTCTGAAGAGCCCTCCTTTTGAGCCGCTACAGTCCATTGACCTTCGTCCCCTGATGCTTAAGACTGCTCTGCTTCTAGCATTAGCATCGGTAAAGCGTATGGGAGATCTGCAGGCGCTATCAGTGAGCCCTACCCGCCTCAAGTTCGGGCCCAACGACTCTAAGGTCATCCTGAAACCAAGGCATGGTTATGTACCTAAAGTGCTCGCTACTCCATTTAAAGCACAGGTAATAACTCTATATAACTGCTAGCATACTCTTCTTTGGGCCTTCAATGCCCCATGGGAGGAAGAGCCCACTTAACTAGAGGTGTTGCCTCTTCCTGGGCTTGGTCTAGTGGTGTGTCCATTGCAGAAATTTGTGCGGTGGCCGGCTGGGCCTCGCCGTTCACATTTGCCAGATTCTATAGTCTGGACATCCCGGCCTTACAGGCGCGGGTCCTTTCTGCATAGCAGGGCACTCTGTCATATGACAACCAGTGCTTGGCGTTTGCCTCCTTCATGTACGCTCTTGGCCTTCAGTGAGTTCTGAGGCTGTACTGAATTATTTAGGGACGATGATACAAGGCTGGGCCGACCTCTCTGAGTTTAGCTCTACTTCCTTTTGCGGGGCTTCCCTGCAAAACACTTGGTCCCTCTGGGCCCCCTTGGGTGCTTAAGGCAAGTTCAAGTATTAGTCGTTCCTCTAGCATAGCACGGCGGGATTGTACAAGTTCCCCAAGCATCTTAAACAGACGCAGTGCGAGTGAAGTATCGATAGGGAATGTACTCGGTTACTAACGTAACCTTGGTTCCCTGAAATACGGAATGAGTACTGCATACTTTGCCGTGCTATGTAGCTGTACGACTCATCTCAGGGAACCGAGGTTACGTTAGTAACCGAGTACGTTTTCAACGAACGCATTTTACGGAGGACTGTTTCCTCAACCTGGGAGAGTATCCTACAATGTCGGCTGTGCACAAAGGCTGTTTCTGTAAAGTGGGGCAATTCCAACTTTGCAAGGACATTCTGGCGCTTCTGACTCACAGCCTGTAAGTATGTTTTCATATTTAAAGAATTTGCCACTGATGATTCAAATGCGAGCTTTGAGTAGCGCTTGTTGTTTTTCGTTTCTCCTATCACAAATGCAGACATGGTTTTATGTTTACGCGGCGCGATAATGAGCTTTGTAAAAATCTACGCGTTTCAGAAAGGCGGGGCATAGAGGAGAAACAATAATGTACAGTATGTGGAAAATAATGTGTTTTTTGAACCTTAAACCGCATAAACACATTTCATTACACCAAATACACCAAATAATGTTCTTTTTAGCAACGTCATATGACCCCTTTAATGATAAAAGCCGTTGTCAATGGGGACCAGCAACTGAAGGTGAACTTTCCCTTTAAGGTCAATTCTTGAGGTATGAAAGAGGAAACTCAGTAAACCTTGACTTATTGCACTGTATAATTGTTTAAACATTCTTGATTTTTTTTTGATGTTTCTTGATGTTTCAGAGTGTCACGGTGTGGCAGGCCGTGTTCAGGATGTCTATGAGTGTCAGAGGGGGTGTCAGTGAGCAAACAAACAGCAGGGTCACAAGGAAGTGCTGTTCCTTTAACAACTCACCACAGCACAGAGTTTGATTCACTTCCCTCACTGCCCCACCCCAGAGCTCCTGTGCTGAAGTTTGACACAGACCCCTCCACCGTTACGTGCGTTAGGACAGGATAATCTGTTCTCATTCCCACAGTCTGCTGGACTTTGACTGCTGATTTTCTGTCCATATCAATACCTAGTAGAGAAGATCACTTCAGGTAAGAAACTCTTCCGCTTTAGACTTATCTTGCGTAATGGCTCTGCAAGCTTGTGTGCAGCTCATAAGTCTGAAACTGTTTCTGAAGTTTTGTTTTCTTGAAATTCTTTAAATACTTTCCACCTCATCAACTTTTTGATTTTGTTCAACATACTAAATTCTTGGCATTCATAGGGAAGCAACAAATTCAGTTCTTCCCTTTCTCAGTTACTACTACTACTACTAACTTTTCTGATCTGGAATCAGGAATATTACTTGTCTAGTCTTGCTTTGTAGTGGAATAACTGGACTCTTTCTGTCCAAAAATAATTCAGTCTTTGGAACGTTTTGACCAAGATTTTCAGAAACAAATCCTTTGAACTGAGTGTCATCTATCACTTCGTCTGGGGAAACAATAATTTGCTGCAAAATTTATTTCCTAAACAACAACATATATTCTTATATAATTCAATTTAGATTTTAAATTAGTTACAAATAGTAGGTCACGTCCAACCTTAGTCTTACTTTACAGTTAACAATAAAGGTCCCAGAAAGGTGATTTTCATAGTGATATCATAGGTGAACTATATTGGGTTCTACACCTTTAAAATAAAAATAAAAGCTTTAAAATAGCTTTTTTAAAGAACATTTTAATGATTTAAAGACAATTTCTACTATAAAGCACCTTTTGTGGAAATGTAAAAGTTCCATGGATGTTAAAGGAAACATTGATGCCAATAAAGAGCCTTTATTTTTAAGTGTGTAGTTGAGTTTTTGTAAAATGTTGCTATTTTTCTTCATAGTGTTTGTGGAAGAAAGTGTGTTTAGACTGTATCTTGTTTCATGTCTGTGTTAAATTTTGCGAGCTTGAAGACATATGGTATAGTGTTATAGTCCATGTGAAAATGAGACTAATGCAGCATGGTGGATTTGTAGTCATGAATAAAGCTCAAGAATTCTGACATCACAGGAAGTTCAGATTCAGCTGAGACCACTGCCTAAACAGTTTAGCAGTATCATCATAATACTGTCTAACTTCCTTGAGTCTGGCTGTGAACCTATCTATCAAACTTTTCATGACCTTCTGTGGCAACGTCAGAGAACCATGTGTTTGCACTGGAAGGGAAATGGCCATAACAGAGCAGAACAGGCTTATAGTACAGAACATTATCAACATTTGTGGCTGTATGCCGAGTCATGACATTTCCTCACAACCTTGACAAACCCAACATGTTTGGAGTCAGGGGCCGGAATTAGTGTTTAGACTGGAGACAGCAGAACTATGCAGGGATGTCTCGATTACAACCAACCATCCCTTTTATGGACAAAACCAATGAGACATTTCCTAGCAATTACAGCAGATCAGACAGCATGATTCACTGTCAAAACTATAGGCGTAAATAAAAATGTACAATCCAGAACCCACACTGGGTCAATTATTATTTTTGTTTTGTTTTTGTGTGTCTCAGTCTCAGTGCAGATTCCGGACAAAACAAAACTGATTCCTGTTTTGTTTTGTTTTGTTTTGTTTTGTTTTTAATGTTTTGTGTTTCCGTCTCATTGCAGATTCTGGACACAACAAAACACTAATTCCTGTTTTTTGTTTTGTTTTGTCATTGCAGAGACTAGACACAACAAAACAACTGATTTGTGTTTTGTTTTGTATCTTAAGCTGTGTCCGAAATCACTCACTTGTTCACTCATTCACTAATCCCTATATAGTGTATGGCAGTTAAGTGCACTATATATCAGAAAGGAGTAAACGAAATGAAGTGAGCGAATTCAGACGCTGACGTAGGCCTATACTCCACGTCAAAGAGCTGGAACTGTTGCAGAAACATCTCTGTCACATATGTAGTTTATAGTTTAGTTTAGTTTTTTTTTTGTGCCGCAGTGTGGGTTCTGAATTGTGACATCCTCATCATGCTTTTAAGGTCAGATTAAATTAATTCCGGCTGACCAGAGATCCATTGCGATGTTAGTCTAGTGAAGCGGGAGGCATATTTAGAAAAGAAAACATAAACTTGCCAAGCTCAAGTTCAAGTTGTACTCTGGAATCACAACAAGTATGTGCTTTTGAAAGTCCAAATCCACGTTTATATCAGAAACGTCTCGTTTCAGATTTCAGACATGCATGTTTTAATAATCTCAATGCCTTTTTTGGCATTGCATTTCTTTTGTGGTATGTCATCACTTTTATGTAAAGTTCTTGTGTTTACTTAACTACTCATAACTACAGTATAATTACATACATATATAGTATTTACAGAACTTCAGGACTTCATTGACTTTTATTGTTTCAGACAATCTTATCCTACACCTATTCTTACTTAACCTTTACACGCATTTTCTGGATTTGAATTAATTATTGTGTGTACCATTAGGATGTCCCCAAAAAGTAGGTGATTTCAGGTCAAGTCTGTGTGTGTGTGTGTGTGTGTTACAGGATGCCTCTTGGGGGTGGAAACAAATGTGGCTGCTGCCAGAAAACAGTGTACTTTGCAGAGGAAGTGCAATGTGAAGGGCGGAGCTTCCACAGATCCTGCTTCCTGTGCAGTAAGTCCTGTTCATTTTCCTGTGTCCAGTGCCATGACATGGGCCATGAGTCCACTGTATCAGTAGGTCAGTTGGTTTGACAAAGTTTACCAAGGGCAGACTCTTTCTGACGGATAAGTATTAATATATAATTTGTGTTAATAATTATTCATCTTTTGTACAACTGCAGGCACAACGCTGATTTTCCTGAAATTGAAAATGTGTGCCAGAATGCTTTTAAAGCTGTATTGAAAGAGCAAGCAGTCAGATTTTGATAGTTTCATAGTTTAATATATATATTACACATTTAAACGGTTGTTGCTTATGAAAATGTACATACTTTTGAGTGTGAAAATAATGTTATAAAACTGCATCTTGATACCACAGACCCTCTTGTCGCATACGTTTACAAGTGCATTAGCAACTAGATAATTTTTTACCTTACAATTCATTATTACTTACCTTTTTCTTACATTTAATAAGTAGGGCATCTGCTATAATTTAGGAGAAACTACTTCTAATTATGGATAATGTTATGAACTGGGTCACAGTCAGTTCATGTGGTAACATTAGTTTTTTCCAACAGATCAGTCAAGATTGTTCTCTGGTGCTCTCTTCTGGTTGTCTCTATAATTCACTTATGAAATATAATATTACCCTGCTTTGGGCCCTCAACGGGCTCTGCATTCCAGACAGACTGTCTGCAAAAAAAAATAAAAAAAATCAAAGGGCCTTTAATAAAAAATTAAACACAGAACCCTGCTGAGGTGTTTTTATGATCACAAACTGCACAAAACTAGCACATATAGCAAACTGTACAATCTTTTTCTAATATTAAACTATGAAAAATATACTTTCACATCTAAATAATGTCTTTCAAACAACAATATATTATGATATCCTCCACTCGCCACACTTTCAGATATCTATATTGGCTAAAGCAACAGGTTTGCTTTGGTAACAGGTTACTGTCATTATTATGTTTTCGAAATCTTGAAGCTGAAGGTCACTGCAGAACACTTTTAGCTATGTATTTTGTTATATTCACTCATCCTTCTCATTTCAGTGGTGTGCAGGAAATGTCTAGACAGCACTACTGTAGCCGTCCATGAGAATGAGATCTACTGCAAGGCCTGTTACGGCAAAAAGTATGGGCCCAAAGGCTACGGCTATGGCGCTGGCGCAGGAACTCTGAGCATGGATAAAGGAGAGTCACTGGGAATTAAACCTGCGGAGTAAGAATACACTTAATTTTGATTCTTAAATATTACTTCATATTTGTTCTTTTAGCATCTAGTCTCACAAAATTAAGACTTCTGACTGTTGGCATAATGTTTACTTCATAGCCTATTCTGGCCAAGATGGGCACACTTAGGTGGAAAGGGACCATTTGACCAACATGTCATCAAATAGTTTATCATGTTTTACACATTTACAGCACAGTCTCCAAGCTGTTCTTTTACATGATATGAAAATGAATGGTGACTGTCTGTAAAGCAAAATATTCTCTGAATAATGACTTAAATTTCGCTCTATTCCTCATACAAAGCTATCATATGACTGCAGAAAATTTGGAATATAGCTCACAAGATGCCTTTTTGGAGCTTGACAGCTCTTGGTCTCCATCCACTTTGACTGAATGGAAAAGAGCAGCGTGAACATTCTTCAAAATTACTTCTTTTGTGTTCCACAGGAGAAAGACAGTCTTGGAACAGGTTCTATTGATCGAAGTATATAACTTTGGGGGGAACTATTCATTTTAAAGGGGTCATATGATGCGATTTCAAGTTTTCCTTTCTCTTTGGAGTGTTACAAGCTGTTTGTGAATAGATCAAATCCCTAAAGTTGCAAAGACTAAAGTCTCAAACCCAAAGAGATATTCTTTATAAAATTAAGACTGGTCCACGCCCTCCTAAAACGCCTCGTTTAAACACGCCCCACATATCTACCTCACTATGTGAAAATATTTGCATAATGCATGACTGCAGAAAATTTGGAATATAGCTCACAAGATGCCTTTTTGGAGCTTGACAGCTCTTGGTCTCCATCCACTTTGACTGAATGGAAAAGAGCAGCGTGAACATTCTTCAAAATTACTTCTTTTGTGTTCCACAGGAGAGGAGTCTTGGAACAGGTTCTATTTATCGAAGTATATAACTTTGGGGGGAACTATTCATTTTAAAGTGGTCATATGATGCGATTTCAAGTTTTCCTTTCTCTTTGGAGTGTTACAAGCTGTTCGTGAATAGATCAAATCCCTAAAGTTGCAAAGACTAAAGTCTCACACCCAAATAGATATTCTTTATAAAATTAAGACTGGTCCACGCCCTCCTAAAACGCCTCGTTTAAACACGCCCCCACATGTCTACGTCACTGTGTGGGAAGATTTGCATAACGCGTAACTTTATGAAAGAAGGCGTAAATTTATTGTTGCTGCCACCGCCGCCGCCATGTTGTGAAGATGCTGTGTGTTTCGTTGTG